GACAGGTTACATGAATTAATATGTCTGAAAATGTCTTCTGAAGTGTTCTGAAGCTCATCACTATCCGCAGGGAAACGCACTCCCTGGAGAGGGATTCTGCTCTTTGGTCCTCCAGGAACAGGAAAGTCCTACCTGGCTAAAGCAGTGGCTACCGAGGCCAACAACTCCACCTTCTTCTCCATCTCGTCATCAGACCTGGTGTCCAAGTGGCTGGGAGAGAGCGAGAAGTGAGTGCTCCTCAAATGTTAAGTGTGAATATATTATTTGTTTTTAATCATTTAGAATTTATGTTGTTAATTTTGTCATTGTCTGTTAGGTTAGTGAAGAATCTGTTCAGTTTGGCTCGGGAGCACAAGCCTTCAATCATCTTCATCGATGAGATCGACTCCATGTGCGGCTCCAGAAATGAGAACGAGAGCGAAGCGGCCCTCAGGATCAAGACTGAGTTTCTGGTCCAGATGCAAGGTAAATGCAAAGCTAGCGATAGCTTTGTCGCAAGAGCAAATTTGGCGCTGTCTGAGTCTCATTTGACAGGGTTGTTATAATTTTGTATATAATATAATATAATATATAAATATAATATAATTTTTTTTGTTTATTTTCTTATGTAGGTTCAATACTAGGGCTGTGCGATTAATCGAAATCGTCATAAAATCACGATTTGAGGGTGCACGATTTCTAAATCGCTTTACAGCACGATTTTCCGCACCCCGACCTCCCGCAGTATGCTATCCGAACCAATCAGAATGCAGCGCGCCTAAATGGAGTGCGAGAACAGAATGGGCATACAGACGTAACGCCAGGTTCACACACTCTGTCTGTGGTGTGTATGCGGTGCGTATTTTTTCTGCGCCCATGTTAACGGATCAGAGCATTCACACTGCATACGATTGCGGTCCGGCAGTGCATTCCAGGAGCGGTGCGTCTGCAGCAGTCATGCAGCGATCGTTTCTGCACAGAGTCTATTTCTGCTGTGTTGCACGTGCTGAATTAAAGTGACAGCGCATTGTTCACGGTAAAAATTAACATGGATTGACACGGAAATGTAGTAATTACACCATAAATGCATATAATTAAAGTCTACTGTTTCACAGTCAACACATGGCTTTTTGGCTAGATTTAAAATAAGGAAAAGTGCACTTTTAGAGAAACAAGGCAATTATAGATGGCACTCGTGGAAAAGTTAGATTGTGCAGAGGACTCATCTGGTTCCGTGGTCTTGTCCCGATGGCCGTCTAGGAGACAAGGTCTTCACTGGGGATCTGTCTCTGGGGCTCATCTAGTTGTCCTGGTATCCGCTGAAATTCAGGGATGTACAGGTCGTCTTTAGGTGCTGATCCACCATCTGGGCTGGATACGGACTGGATCTGGTGGCTACAGTGACCTCAGAATAAGAAAGAAACAGACTAATATTAGCGTAGATGACATTCTTCTTACGATGTAACAAGTACATTGTATGTTATTGGAAGTGTTCCCAGTTCCGGTTGACCTAATTAATGCAGCCTAACAATCCTTTCATTCTGACTTTTTTCGCAATTTGAAGTTTATATCTCGCAATTCTGACTTTTTTTTTCAAAATTGTGAGATATATATTATAAGTTATAATGTCCAATTCTGAGGGGAAAAATACTGATATTTTCTCAGAATTCCGAGTTTATATCTTTATTGTGTGCTGTAAAGTCAGAATTGCATGATATAAATTCACAATTACCTTTTTTTGTTATATTTGTTTATTTGTTATATTTATGTATGTGTCATAATGTGATAATGTATTATTAAATTGTATTATGATGTATATTATAATATTTGATCACATTAAAGTAAACATTTTAGTTATATTTTTGTTAAAAAAACATTTCTGTTTTTTTGTGTTCATAATAGTTTTCAATATTTAATATCAATATATTTTTTTCAATTATATTGAAGTCCTTTATTTTTATTTAATATTTTTGTTAGCAGTTGTTTTCTTTGCTGCTTTTGTTTTCATAATAGTTTTCATTATTTATTAGGGCTGCACGATAAATCGAAATGGAATCGAAATCACGATTCGACAGAAGCTGCGATTGTCATGCGTATCTTTCAGTGAAGCACGGTTCTGTGATCAGCAGTAAATCTCCATGGGGGCGTGTTTGAACGAGGCGTTTTAGGAGGGCGTGGACCAGTCTTAACTTTTATAAAGAATATCTCTTTGGGTTTGAGTTTGACTTTAGTCTTTGCAACTTTAGGGATCTTATCTATTCACAAACAGCTTGTAACACTCCAAAGAGAAAGGAAAACTTGAAATCGCATCATATGACCCCTTTAATTTTCTCATTCTCGCAGGCGTAGGAAACGACAACGAAGGAATTCTGGTCCTTGGAGCGACGAACATCCCCTGGACGCTGGATTCTGCCATCAGAAGAAGATGCGTCATGCAAATCCACACAAATTTTCATGTCTTGAAATGTCTATATAGGCATTGGTTTATTATTGTCTCATGGTTATAGGTTTGAAAAGCGCATCTACATCCCTCTTCCCGAGCAGCACGCTCGC